AAATAAAATAAAATAAAATAAAATAAAATAAAATAAAATAAAATAAAAGCTTTACCTGTGTTCAGCAATTTATTTCATATGATGAACACATCCCATCAGGAATTCTGTCTCTCTTCTAAGCACCAGTTTTTACAACTAAAAATCCTTGTAGATTCTTAGATTGTAGGTTGTAGAAGAAAGATATAATTGCAGCTCTGATCCTACAAAATATTTTTGGAGCTGAGTCTATGCTCATATGGGGTTGTAAGAAAACCCAAAAAGGGGAACTTGTGAGTAGAAGAGCTTATCCTTGCCCTTTCATTGAGCTTTGGATACAATTGCCACTTCTGCTGCCTGTTCAGTTAATTTGGATGACTGAAATAAAATCTGTATAAGCTAAAACAAAACTTTGCAACAAAACTTTTCTCCTCTTCTGCTCAGCGGTGCAGTATGAGGTTTAGAAAACACCACAAGAAAAATATTCAAGTCCCCAAATCCTCTTTCCTACATGCTCTGAGGTTCAATTCGCTGCATTCACCAAATTCAAAATTATTGGAGTGCATATGTAGTGAAAAACAATACACTGTCTTTTTCTGTGGTGCAAATGTCTTAATGACATTCCTACCAAGCATATTTGGTTTGCAGATGGGTTTCTTGGTGCTCTGTGGGCTCTCTGCATGATAGAACTGAGTAAATTTGTCAAATTCTTTCCCTATGCCCCCACCTGTAAGGAAAGCCCTGCCAAGCAGTGCTTACCAACTTAGTAACATGAACAGGAGTAGAGAGCAATAAACTGGCTGTAAGAAGCATTCTGCAGGTGGAGAGGCATGAAAAGCAAAGTATTTCATTACTATGTTGTGTGCAGTGGTAAAAGCACAAGGGAACTGTTCAAAGAAAAAGGAAGACACTATACCTGCAGATCACCCTCCTAGTGGAGCCACACAGAAAATGGATCTGATGCTGCTGGATGAAGAGAGAGGAGGTGTTTTGTGTTTTATTGTTTTAAAGGAAGATACAGGTGCCATTTCAGCAGTGAGCTTTTTCCCTTGTCGCATGAACTGAGAGCAGCTCCATCGCTCCTGCCCATCCTTATCCTCACCTGGGCTTTTATTTAGCTCCAAGCAGTGCAGGTGGAAGTGTCACCAAACACAAGACCTCTCCCCTTATGCCACGCACAAGCGTGTCATGCTGGAGGAAGGAGGCCCAGCTTGCCATTTGCCTGCATTTCTTCGCACACAGGGAGGAGGGATTGCAGATGGGCTGAGGCTTGAGACATAGACTGCAAAGCTGTCTTTGAGCTCAAAAGGGAACTTGTCAGAGGTGAGGGACAATAGCAGTGTGAAATAGCAGCAAAGTACAGCTGCTCTCATGCATTAAGACAGGGCCATTTCTCCATCTGAAGGCTGTATTCCTAGAAAAAAGCTCAATTCAGAAGCCCACACAACGCCATCACGCACACCCAGCCAGAGCCCCCGACACCACCCTCTTACATTTGGGCTTCAGTCTGCAGTGGCAGCTCTGGCCTCACATATTCTCCAGTGGCACCTGTGCAATCACTTGGTGAAATCAGAATAAATCTCACCAAAAGCAACAACATTCACAGATAGGAAGATCCCATGGGAGGGCAATGAAGTGGGAGCTGGTACTTCAGCTGAAATGAAGCTGGAAGCACCATGGAATAACATGCTCAGGGCCAGGTCCTCATCCCATGCTACTCCTGACCCTTCAGTGTCCAAAGTGATTTAAAAGAACAGGAGCCCAAGCATCCCTGATGGATCTGGGAAACCAAAATGAATGATTTCAGGTGCAAGACTGAGACAAGAGATCTCCATGCCATTGTTAAGGGAGGTTGGTGGGTGCCTGTGTGGTGTGCTGGATGGGCTCCCCTTGCGTGCCCTCAGGCTATAGGCACAAGTGCAAAGCTCAACACTGCCCTTTAAGGGCACGTTCCTGTTTGTGCATAAAATGTTGGGACTACATTTTAATCAGACAAATAATCAAGCAAAGAGCTATGGAGACCAGTCAAACAACCCATCTGGCAGCGTGTCACAATTCATATGATTTGGCACAGAGCAGCACACAGCATGGCTGTTGTCCTGCCAGTGTCATCTCAGGAAGTGTTCAGCAGATAGAGTTGCTCAAATCAAGGTTTTGTCACCAGTACAAGTAACACAGGGCATCTTTGTTTGCCCCAGTAACACTAAAGCAATCGGTTCAATCTTCTCTGAAGAAAAGCCTTTTTTTTTTTTTTTTTTTTTTTTTTTTTTTTTTTCAACACTGATCACTGTGGAAACAGTGGGAGAATTGCTGTGGTAGAAAATGATTCTATTTTGTAGCAGAGGTAAACATATTGTCTGTATGGTATTTCCCCTCCTCCTGTGCTCTTGCAGAACTGGAGGAGTCAACAGGAAACCAACTGGCCTTGGGTAGAGCTGACATCTCTGGGTAGGAGACTGCTTTTTTCAGTCTCTATTTCTCTTCCTGACTGAAAATATAGAAGTGCATGAAACAAGTAATTTTTACTGCATTGAACTGGTTATATTTTGGTCTTGGAAGATGTAATAATGTCTACTAGAGTGCCTTTAGCAGTAGAATTTGCTCTCTTGTATGCCAGGTCCTATGTTCTTTTTCCTCAATTACTGAGAAGAAAGCAAAGTTCAGGCACCAAACTGCTTTCTGTGCTTTGACTCCTCAGAGAGGACAACTCTCATCCACTCTTAACTTTTCTAGATGTATTGCTGGACTGTGCTGTACCACAAGCTATCTTCACCTTGTTTTTGACAGATGCAAGGACAAAGCTGGCCTTCTAACCTTCCATGATACTATTTCTCCAGTTAAATGCTGCATTTGCTCCATGAGTTAATGTCTTCACTGGAGGGTTAACCATCAGCCATTTCTTCTCCTCTTTGAGCTCTTCACAGAAACACATGCCCAGAGAAGGGATCTAGGAAGGAAGGATACAAGCAGCAGTTACCAGCAGGGTCATTGATTTGGTTTTGCAGCAGAACAGAAGAGCAGATTCTGAGACCATTCTGAAGATAGAGCCTGGAACATTTTGCCACTTTTGAAACAAACTGAAAACAGGCTGGATGCCTATGGTGAAACAGCTGAGCTTGTGCCATCACCTTGAGCTCACACTTGGATTTGAAAATCAAGATGTATTCACTCCTTATGCATCAACTGTAGGAAGTAAAATCACGTCTAAAGACTGAATTCTCCTCTTAGTAATACCGAGACAGATGATAAGGAAAACTGAAGTGAAAAAATCTGCCACTGGTGATAATACACAAGTAAAACAAGCAAAAAAACTCTTCAGCAAAGTCTCAAGGGCAAGCCTCACTTGTGAAGCTGGCAAGAAAAGCCTTCTCTGCTTTGCCCTGTAGCTGAGCAATTAAGCTGTGAACTTGCAGTGACCTGAAAATGTACAATTTAAAGAGTCACTTACTGAATATAGCTGCAATTTATGCTCATAACACTATGAGGAGAAGGAAGGCTCTTAGTCCTGCTTCTATAGTTAGGAGGCTCATGCCAGAGGGAGATGTTTCCACACACACCTCACATGTAGCTGCTACCTGATACTGATTATGCATGGGTGTTGAATGAATATCTCCTAATATGTTATTTAACAGGACAAAATTCTTCTTTTGACCACTAGTTCTATGCTAAAACTACACAAGATAGATCTTTTTGTACTGAGGGAGCTAATGTCAGTGGTATTGACGTGTCGTTACAAATCTCACTGCCTGGGAAAACTCGATACTGAAAGTACAGAAACACATACAGAAAGCTGCCTACTGAATAAAAAGTCTTCTTACCTTTCGGACTATGTGGGCAAAGTCGCTGCTGTCTCTGGCAGGGAGTCCTATCAGAGGTCGGGTGAAAGATGCCAAGGAAGAGCCATGCCCCACAATCAGGATGACACCTGAAACACCATAGTAAGAAAAGAAAGGTAGTTAGGGTGTTGTCTGACTTTGCAGACATCTTTGTTAATGTGGCAGAGTGTACTGCGCTGGTCGGAAAAAGTCTGACATGTTGCAGACATGGCAGCTAATGAGAAAAAGTATTTGCTCAGTGAACAGCTTTCCAGAAACGCGATTTTCTGATGCTGATCTTCATCCCAAGGCACAAGTAGAATGATCAAAATTACTCTTGTAATTTTTTACTGCCTTCTGTTTAAGTTTGATTTTTCTTTTCTGTTCTGTAAATTGTTTTTATTTTTACTTACTACAGGCCAACAGCTACAAGCCTACCTTGAACTCTGTGCAAAACAAATAATCAACGATAAATGTGCCTCTGTTGACAAACACATGCCTATTCCTGATACTGAAAGTATCTTGCAGAATATACAAAGATTTGAAACCTTTACCTTTGCTGGGGCAGGCAGTGACAATCTCTTTTATAACTGCAGAGCTTCTGCTCACATATTCCTCATAACTTTCTGACGGGACCAGAGAAGAGAGTGGGATGATTCCCCTGACAATATAATCAGAAATACGTTTTAATCTAGATGAATGAGCAGACATAAGAGGAAGCACTTGGTTAAAAGGATGTGGGTTTATCCACTGACCTGACTGACACACCGATACCTCAGCAATTCACATTAAAACTTAAGCCCACATCTTGTAGTTCATAAAACACCAGAAGCAGAGAAAACCATGCTTTAATAAAGCCCCTAGTTTACAGTGGAAGTTGTTTAAATTAAGACCCATCCCAAAGTTTCTCAGGAGCTTCCTTGACCTGTCTGTGTCCATACTTGGAAAAAGATGGCAGAGTCTACCATGTCTTGGTGCACAGTGGCTGGTGGTGCCAAGGATAGGCAGCTGAGAAGGCCAAATTCTGAGTGATGAGAGCCCTACCAGCCTCCCCAGTGTTGGGGGACTAGCAAAATAGCAGGACAACAGTGATTTGCTGCCTCTCAACAATCTCCTTGCTTTTCTTGGTTGATGCTTACATTAGGTCTTCTTGGCAAGAGAATTCAGCCTCCTCAGACTCATTTCCTATTTTTCATATCATCCTTTGAATCTGAGAGCTAGAGAAATTCACAGCCATGGCTGGCAAGTATGATTATATGATTAGGCACATGCTGTGACACAATCCAGAATGTTTATTTCTTTCTACAAAAAAAAACTGCCCTGCTGTTTTGCTAGCCTCCTTTTTCAGTGAATAGATAGAAGAGAGATTAGATTCATATATTGTAGTAAGATTTGATATCAAAGTGTACTTTTACCAGCGAGTCCTTGATACATTTCAGGTAAACTACAGCAGCACAAACTACAGAAGTAGAAAATAAGTGGTAAAACCATGTGGCAGGCCCATGCTAAATTGTTAATCATAGCTAATACTAATTCTGGCCAGGTTAAGTCTGCTGATGGAACAGTCCGGGACTTGACCCAGGTGAAAGCTGCTCCTTGAAGTGAGTGCATATGGTAAAACTACCTCTGCAACCAGAGGATTTTGAACCCTGTCCACGACAGCAAGAAAGTGGCATCAAATGTGCAGGGTTACAGCTTATCCTCTCTGCTTTTGCCTGGACCTGAGTGAGCTGTAAGGCTGCAGTTGGCACTGTTGCAAAGGTTTCCTCTCCAGTTCCCACTGCTCTATACCTGCACTCTGTCCTGTGTGGAAATTTGAGGAAAATGATCTCATATTGAAAAAACTGTTGAAAAAGTTTAGAATGACCTACGTCCCATGAATAGGAAAGATTTTATTCTTTCACGAAGTTTAAAATGAAGACGCTCACTTGGCTGTAAGAAATACATTATGAGCTGAGAAGTTCCTTTCCCTCTTTCTTACACAAGTGGGACACCTCAGACACGCTCACTTTTATTAGCTGAGCAATTTCCTGCAGCTGGCTGTGCACTGCACACACAGAGCAGCCCCAGAGAGCACAGTAAGCAGCTAGGTAAATTGGAGCTCATTCATTTTCTGCTCCTCTGTGGTTTGCAAGTACTCAGAAATAGCATCAGTCCCCTCTTTCAGCTCTGGGGGCCCCCAAAAAATCCTTGCTGCAACTCAAAACATAACAACGCCCTCCTCGACTGAGTTTGGCATGAACTGTTCTGCTGCCCCCAACCCCACCCTCCAAATCACAAGGAAAGCTGGCTCGTGTTGGGGACACCTCTCTCAACCCAATGGATGTGAAAGCAGCACCAGAGCAAGGCTAATGCAGTATGCAAGCTCCAGGTGTGTGCCCATATGCCCATTTCTAAAAAGGCCCATATTGTCTCCATGTTAGAGCAACAAAGCTGACTCTTGCCATGAGACAGAAGACTGCATATCTTTGGGAATAGACCACGCAGTCTTGAATTTGATTAGCATCATCCATTGTTTGCAATGTCCCTAAAGGTTTATGACATATAAAGAGGGAGGAGGTACCTCAGGAGAAGAAGAACTGGCTTTAACAGCTAGAGAGGAAGAAATTACCTGTAACTTGTATCTATGTTGTAAGAAGCCTCTGTCAGTTCTGTGAGAGTCATAAAGTTTGGAATTACTCTGCTTGCTTCCCACTTGGTCCATTCAAACAGTCCTGGTTCCACTCTGATTTTGACTTTTTGGTCTAATTTAAGCCCTGCAAAGACAAACTGTATTTCTTAAAAAGAAGAAGGTATACTCAAACTGCCAAACTGTCACATTTGGGCAGTACATTCTGTTTTGTTTGCTGTAATATTTTCATTAACCAAATAAGCTGCTTATTGTTGAAAAAAAAAAAGGATTGTGTTTAAATGAAGGCAACATATTCTTGTCTGACTAATGTTAGGACACACAAAAAATGAGACATTTTTGTTATGTTATAGCTATATTGCTATTATTATTGTTGTTATTTCTGGAGTTCTCTTGTGATACTTTCAAAGTACAGAAGTGAGCAAAAGACCTCAGCAATGTTTCAATCTGAATAAACTTTATAAAGGAAATGTCTTTTTTTACCCATTTGTATATAACATTTTGTAGAGTGACCACTCTGTGGGGCAATAAATCATTCTACAGCAGAATTTTAATGTAATTGTTGTAAAAAGATACATTCTTTTGTTTATTATTCTCAAGAGAGGTTACAGGGTTGCACCATTTCCCATAAGAAATGCACATGTCCTACTGAAGATGTAAGGATGATGATGAACTGTGAGCCCTTCACAGATCTATTAGAGGGGAGAGGTGAGGAACAGTGAGGAGAAGAGAGAATGGAAGAGGAGGAAGGAAAGAGATTTGAAGCATGAAGGAACTAAAATCCTTTGGCTTGCAATAAATAACCACAGAATTGTACACAGAATCATTGAAGTCCGAAAGACGGCAAAGATCATCTAGTCCCTGGGCAGCCTATTCCAGCACTTGACCACTCTTTCTGAGAAGAAATGGTACCTAATATCCAACCTATACCTCCCCTGGCTCACTTGAGGTCACTATCACCATAACTTCTCTTACTATTACTGTTTACCTGGGAGAAGAAGCCAGCTCCCATCTCTCCACAACCTCCTTTCAGGTGGTTGCAGACAGCAACAAGGTCTGCCCTGCGCCTCCTCTTCTCCAGACTGAACAACCCCAGTTCCCTCAGCTGCTCCCCATCAGACCTGTGCTCCAGATCCCTCACAGCTCCACTGCTCTTCTCTGGACTTGCCCCATGGCCTTGATGTCTTTCTTGTAGTGTGGAGCCCAAATCTGAACACAGAATTTGAGATGTGGCCACACCAGTACTAAATACAGAAGGATGATCACCTCCCTGCTCCTGCTGGCTACCCCCAGAAACTTGATGGCAGTTTGACAAAGAGATTTTCATTTTTTATGCCTTACCTTGCAGTACATGTTGGGCTGTCTGTATGCAGCGTAGGGCAGGCGATGAGTACATGTAGCTGACTGTCACCTCCTGGTCCAGCAGAGCTTCCCCTAGTGGGAACAGCAACGTGAGGTGCTGTTTCACTCATCACTGTAAGTGAGAAACTACTGCAAAAGTGTTTCAGTAAAAAAAGCTAGGACCAAGCATTGGAAAGGTAATTACAGAAGACTGTCACAAAATCTGCCAACAGCAGCTAAGCATTTGCACCAGACTCGTATTGTCAACATCAGACGTGCATGCTCAGGGTGCAGAAATAACTTTGTTTGGTGAGTGAACTGAGTCAGACTAACCCATATCACCCAGCTAGCAGTTTTATCTGTGACAAGCTGACCACAGTCTGCTGACCACGAAGCTGTGTCCTCCAGCCAGCCCTCTCCCTCAGTGACAATTGAATGAGACATCACTCTCTTGCAGATGTGCAGCAGGGCACAGGTAGTGTTGCAGTTTCCTTCTTTTAACTATCTTGGCCAGGAACTGGCAGACTGGGTCTCTAGAATGAACAACCAGCCTCTCTCTCTATTTTACTGTTTAACAAGTAGTTAAGACAAGACAAGACAACAAGCAGTTGTTCATCCAGAATGGTTACCACAAACAATGCTGCTAGCAAGTTTCTCTACTACTAGGCCAGTGTGAGCTCTGCCAGATGCTGAAAGATCGCTTCCCAAACCCATATAGTTGCAGTAGGATATTATCCATCTTACCTATAAGTCTTGATTGGAAAACACCGCAGGAAGATAAAGGAGGATCATGCTCAAAATGCTTTACACTGTCTTTCCGTTTTGGTAGGGTGGAAGGAAAGTTGAGGTCTGCCCTGTAGTATTTTCCTAAAACAAGGTGGAACATTTTGCTGTGATGAGAGGGAGGCAGCAACAAAATACACCGTCTGCCTTTTGTTGTAATGGCTCCATTCATTTTGAATTCTCAGACCAGAATTATATTTCTGCTGGCAAATAAAAACAGGCTGGAGCCCTGTTAAAAAATCCCAGTGACTACTAATTACCTCAAAGAGATCACGTTTTAAGTTCATAACACTGACTTGGGAAATCACCTGTCGTAGCAAAATAACACCTCTTCTGCAAGCTCCAAAGGAGCAAAAGAAGGGAGTGGAGGAGAACGAACACAGAAAGTGGAGGTGTCTGATAAGCCTCAACCAGGTCGTCTGAATAACTAATAGTAGAGATATAGATATAGATAATAGTAGAGATTTTATGTTTTGTGCTTCTGTCAGCGACAACCGTACCAGAGCAATGTTTGTTCTGTGGTGTTTATCCAAAACAAACATAAAAGACATGACATAAGGTCCAGGTTGGACCAGGCTCCGAGCAACATGTTCTAGCTGTAGATGTCCCTGTTCATTACACGGAAGTTGGACCAGATGGGCTTTAAAGGTCTTTTTCAATTCTAAGGATTCTATGACATGATGATGGTTAGGTGTAGGTCAAAGAAGTGTTGCGTCTGACTGCGCATCATTATTCACTCTTCTGTGTCAGCATTTACATCTACAGGTAGAAGCCTGTATCCCTTATACTCTGATGCTGGGGTAAAGTTCTGGGTCAGGTTTGCTCAGAAACTCCCATTATCTTACTCACCGTCTGCAGTTAAGCACTGTTGAAGCCAAGATTTCCCAAAGACCTGATCAACTCTTTCTCCATGGCGCATCACTAACACACCTCTTCGCAGATTGGTGTTCTGAGAAAGCTATATAAAAATTACTTTCCATTACAATATTATATACAACCTGCATGGAAAGTCTAAATTGCTGTATGCTGTCTAACATAGCAAGGACCAGCAGGGCTGTCCCAAGAGATAGATAACAACCACAGAGGGGGAGAGTATTAAATTGATAAAATGGATTAGAATATTTAGGACAAAAATAAGCCTGACTAGCTCTCTGTTGAAAGCAAATGAAGAATATCTCTGATCTTCATGGGCTACAGGTTATATTTAAATTCAGTGTTTATTCTAGTGAAAGGTAGTACTGATAAATCTTTTAATTCCACTGTGGGAAGGAGTTACATTACTATATATTGCGTAATTGGTACAAACAAAAAGGAAAAGCAGCTAGCTGATTTAAGTAATAATATTCTTTTCTAACATCAATCTCATCTTTTTTTCCAAATGAAAACAGAGATTCTACATTTTTCCAACAGTGTATGGCTAAGTGATTAGTGAGCCCAGGTCTCATCTGAGGCCTTGTTTTCCCTTAGTCTGCACGAGGCTACAAACACGTTCTAAGTATGTAGGAGTTAGTTTACAATGAATACAGAGAGGAAAAGATAAGGAAGAATACCTCAAAAGCTTTAAAACTTTTTAAAAAACAATTAATCACAGCATTATTGTTGCAACATCAAGGTTAGTGATGTGTATCTTCAAGAACAGAGAAGGGAATTCTTAAGAAGTGGTGTGAGATACATATTTATGTATATTTATATATATATATATATTTTGCTAATACTCTGCATTTCTGCCGTAAGGCACCAATCAACTGCTATGAGATCAGAGTTTAAGGTTTTGTGGTCTAGACATTCTTCCTGGGAGAAGCTCATAGGCTGGGGAAATGCTTAGATTAAAGACGTGCACATCTACAAAAAGTGTTCTTCAGGGCAAGCAGTGGCTCTGCCATGGATCCAAGCAAGAGGGTTAAAGAGCACACATGAATTGGTGGAAGGACATATAGCTCCTGCAAAAGAGAGTTTTGTAAAAGATGGCAAGGCTAATACCACATTACATATACTACAAAATATTTATGGGATATGGTACTGTAAATGTATGTGCAGTGTATGCATACGCTACATATATTCATTATAACATGAAAAATGTTAAGGAGAACCAGGAAGACAGTATTAAATTTAATATATGCTTTTTCTTAATAGCACATGATGTACAACTACATGGTGAAGATAAGAAATAAAATCCAAACTACCTGAAGTGAAAGAACATCAGTTACACTCCTTGACATAACAGGATTATGGACTTCTCCATTCAGCTTAACATTAGGATCATTTGTGGATTGGGTGAACAATTTTGAAGCTGGCACAAAAGCATATTCCCTGTAGAAAAAGCAAAAACAGTGCACACACATATGAGCACACACAAAAACAGAAGGGATTTTTAAGTCCAGATTTTGTCCATAGGCATATGACAACCAAGATTCCATATTCTCTTCAATATATTTCACACACATGCAATCCATTTTATCACTTTGTTCAGGTCGTAATCTGCCCAGTAAAAATAAGAGTAAATTATATGAACTGATGACATGCATTGGATGTAACTATTCTGAATTCTGAGCTTCAAGCAGGAAATTATACCTGATTGTCACCACTCTGCCTCTAAGGGCTCAGCACAGATGAAATCTATACCTCTTGCTTAGAAAAATTAGATCTAATCTGGAAGAATCATTTGCTACACAGGAAGCCAGTGAAATGCCTGCTGATAAAGGTTGAATTGACATGGCAAGGATGAGCACAAGGTGTTGGAGTAACCTTTCCATGGTTTAATTCATTTAATTTCAAGTTGGTTTTGCTACCTCCTGAAATGAGACAAAAGAAGAAATGGAAGTGCTAAGGGCCAGGTTGGATGGGGCCCTGGGCAGCCTGATCTGATGGGTGGCAGCCCTGCCCATGGCAGAGGGTTGGGGCTGGGTGGCTTTAGGGTCCTTTCCAACCCAAATCATTCTGTGATTCTGTGCTTCACATTATTCAGGAGCACAGGCAGGCTATCCTTTGATCAGCTGGACTCCAGGCTTCCGTGTGCATGTGTCCTATCACTTCTTGTTAAGAAATTTCATTTTCCCACCCAGATACCAAGGTACCCTCTGCTCACCTCACCTCTAGCTTTCTCCCAGCAGCAAGGAGGAACAGCAGCTGCATAAAACCCCTGCACCACGAAAGCCCAGAAACTCCAGCACCTGTGGAGTGGATCACAACCAACCTGTGCTTAACCCACGTGTCTGACTCGTTGGCTCTCTCTGTGTAGTTTTCAGGAAGAAAACCCCTGCACCCACTCTGGTGCGAGGTCCCGATGACCCAGCCTTCGCTGACTTCAGACTGCTGTGTTGGGTTGACGTAGATGAAGTCCCCAGCATTGATCATGAGCTCGTCAATATTCTGGGGCTTGTACTGGAAGAGAGCCCGCAGTGTCTGGTGGAAGGACAGAGCTGGGTCAGGCCAGGAGCTGGCTGCAGGGGCAGCAGCATGCAAGGGACATGTGCTAAACTTGTGGCAGCCACTGCCATCAGCACCATTTCCCAACTGCAGCTTGCTCTGACTCGCTACTTCAGCAGACAGATAACTGCAAATATGCACTGAGTGTAAAAATAGGCACTTGGTATTCGTAATATTAGGGTTTTTTTTCTTTTTTCCTGTAACTAGTGTGACATATTTGAAAGAAGGCACAGCAAAAGGATTGTCAGCTATTTCGGTGATTACTTGTAGCTCTCTCAAGTAAAATATGAGATTCAAAACCAAACAATATACTGGTCCGGATTAAAAAAACAGCTGTTATTCATCATTCTGTAGTTGAAATTTGGAAATGAAAATGGGAAAAATATTGACTGTTTTAAACTAAGAATTTGGTAAACTGAAGTTGACCAGGGAGAACTGTGCTGTGCTCACTGAAGTTTAACCTGTGCCTTTTTCATCATTGTTGAACAATAAAAAAAAAAAAAACTTATTCTGTTGAATGGAATTTTACTGCAGAGCAGTGATTTGACAAGGAAATGTTCAAAGGTCATCATTTCCTGTCTCTTTTATTTTCTCATAGCTCATTGTAAGATGAGTTCTGCTGCTGCAGTTTGGGATTGGATCTTGCTGACATGCAGGTCAAGCAGGTAACCATAAACATATCTCCTATAGACTCAAGAATACAGTTTTTTCAGCCCAAAGAGATACTTGAAGCAGCCATACGTTCTGAACACTGCACTGTGCATGCACTGATTTTCCCCATAGAAAACAAAACAAAACATATAAGATGACTGCAGGAAATATTCCAACTACAGACCCAGAAATGTAATAAACCCAATGACAGTACCTGGTAATGCACAAAACGCATGTCCCTTGAGTAGAGAGCAGCTACCCAGTGGCAGGTCTCCTCTGGGTTAATACATTTGGCGAGTTGCTCCAAAGTCTTCTGGTGGTGAGGACAGAACTTGTGAGCCAAGGTAAGGTGGAGCTGCTTTAGGCAGGGCTTCACGTGACAGTCTAGGAATAAAGCAACCAACTTATATCATGACTTACAAAGGAAGGCTGTTTAAAGTTCTTCGTGTTTTATCCTGCATGCTTTGCATGATTCACGAAATATCTTTGTAATTAGTAGAAGAGTAGACCATAGTTTTATTAAATAATTGTTTTACCAGATGTCATGGCTTTATTTATACCAAAATAATTCAGAAATCTGGACTGAATTGGAGCCTTGGCTTAAGCTGAGAGAAAAAACAAACTGTTGGAATTCCTTTCCCAGTCTGACGTATAGAATTTGTCTTTCCCAGACCACACTATCCAAGGGCAGCAGCGTTTCAGTCTGAGGTTTCCCAGTGTCATGGGAAATGTTTATATGGTGTTTGTTGCACCACTGTCTGAAGTATGTGTCTGCTCCTAGGAAGTTATAGAGGTCTCCCTTCCTTAGTTCCGTAAGCTTGGTTTAAAATATACATCTTCATTTCCTTATTGTATTTATTACCTGACAACTGTGAATGTAAAAAGCACTTCACCCATTGGTGGTGTGAGGTAAAAAATGCTTGTCCTCGCTATGATGAAGAATGCTGCGGGTGTGGGAGATCCCCAGCTGGCACACAACCACTGAAAGGAGATGTGTGACTCAGATTCAGGAGGAGACAGACTTATGTGAGCACAAGGGAAAACCCAGGCCCAATGGGCTACGTTTCTTTGCTTTTTCATTTCCGCCTTCCTCCTCAGTCTGGCCACGGAGAATTGAATATCCCCAAGGTGGAAAGGTCTGTCTTCCCAAGGCTACATGTGAGACAGAGAACTGGGTATAGTTAAGATTTGGTTTATTTCCTCCAAACATGTATTTTCTCTTTTGTTTCTGTCCTCACACAATCATGGCACTGGTCCCTGATGAAGAAAAGACAGAGTAGAGGTTGGGTACAGAGGTCTAGGGGTATTTAGGAGTAGATCTCTTTCTATCTTACATATCCTAATCCTGATGGGCTCTCAAGTTATACTGACAAACATTTCAGCTTGTGGACCAATATAACAAAAGTAAAGCAAAAAAAAAAAAACCAAAAAAACAGAAAACAACAAACCCAATAAAGTTGATCCCACAGAAATTACTCCGTAACAGCTCAAAATGGAATAACCTCTGGTCATTTCAAAACCCATTATGAGCAGCACAGTGTAAGTGCCCAGAAAACAAAGATCTCATATTGTTTTAAGGGATTGCTGCTTGAAAGATGTTGCCAGGCAAAACCTTCACCTGGATTTACTAAATAGAATAAATTTATGAAGACTTCTAGTATTTTTCTTTTTTCTTGTTCATAGAGTTCAACAAACACCTCCTAGACAAAAGCAGCATATCTTCAGAGTCTAAATCAAGCTCCTCTAGCCACATTGTTTTTGAATCTGTAGGAGGAAAATGTGCTTGCCAGCAGTAAAACATCTGTTACACTGCTGTGGAGACACGGGAGATAGTTTCATTATCATGTCTAAGTGTTTGCACAACAGCCCACTCATTTTCCCTCTCATGTTGATCCCACCTGCTAGGGCTGAAGCCTCTGAAGAGAAGGCCACAGCAAACTCTTTGAGGATATTTGCGTGGCTGTCACCAACAAAGAAACCAAGGTAGCTGGTGGATGAGTGTAATGATAGGGAAATAGTTGGTGGAAATCTCTGTGCAAAGCTGTTGCAGATTCTCTTTAAGATGTCATACAGTAATTCCACTTTCTGGTCTTCACACTGAAAGAAAACAGAGGAAGGACATCCTTTACCCTCTAAGATCAACAGCCTGTTGTTGAGGCAGCCTGTCTTGTAAAGTTACACCAGAAAACAGGATGGGCATTACTTCCTTAGAAAGATAACACATCTACAAACATGCCTGAAATTCCTGGTATTAAATGTATTAATATTTGCCAGCTTGATCAGCAGTGTCTTGGTACTGTATGAGGAGATGAGGTCTTTTACCATTAAGTGAAGGAAGAAAAAGCAAGATATTTTACCACCTGAAGTAATCTGAAATGAGTTAGAGAGCATGACTTCTCTCTTCAATTCTAAGTAAGAATTTTTATTATTGTTATTCTACAGTTCTTTGCTCTGGTAAAAAATTTAAGAGCTGAGCAACGTACATAGGAAAGTTAATTCAGAATCTTTGTAATCTTTTGTCCCCTAGTTACAGCAAATTAAAGGATTGTACAAAGCCATGCTTCCACAAAAAGTGTCAATTAAACAATTTAAGAAGTAAATAGAAAAAGATGGAATTTGTGCCATCCAGCCAAAGTTACAGACATTAATGATGTTCCAGTTCCACACTGTTTGTTTTTTTTCCTTAGCAGAGCTATTTGCTCCTTTCAGGTGCAGGAGATGCACGGTGTCAGGAAACAGAAGAGGTTGGGCTGGGAGGTAGGAGCAGGGCAGGGAGTCTTATATCCTATATGGGACGCACCCAGGTCATCTGTCACTGACAGCTGAGGAACATAGAATAGCACTGGTGTACATTCATCCCTAGAAATATACTATCTGAAACAGAGCTGAGGTGTGTGAGGTGAGACTTACAATTCAGGCATCTTTTCCAGGGTCAGGCCTTTAAACTCGACACTTCTCAAGAACACAGCATTAGTTATTAATGTTTTTTGGTTTGCATAATTGTGACAAATGGCTGCAGGACACCACACTATTCTATATTTTGCAACAAAATGCTTCTATTTTCATTATGCTCAGCATTTCATATCATAGTATGATTTACACAATTATTTTGTGCAGCTGCTCTATAGCAATGGTACCATAGCAATAGCCTCTTGGCCTGGACTTGCCAAGCTGTCCAGTTCCACCAGTGGTTACTTTTTGTGCCTTACCGTGAAGAAGTCACAGAGTGTGATGTGAGGGAAAATCTCATGGGCTCTGTTCTTCCCGCATTGCCGCTTGCTCTCCTTCCAAAACTCTTGCAGGCAGTTAAACAAGTGGCCAGTGGGGCACAAATAAAGAGCATATTCCTGGGGGATGGGGTCATCCAAAGAGGGATCGTTACAGTGAGAGTGCAACCTGAAATCAAAACACGTCACACAGAGAAAGCATGTGAGCCACCTACTCTTCTTTCCTTGGCTTCCTTGGATGTGCACCAAACACAAGCACTGTGCTGAGGCAGGGAGCACGTTTACTGTGATACAGCTCTGAATGCCTGTCTGGCTATGCCCCATGCATGCACACAATTGCAGCTCAGATACTATAGCCCCACTGCAGTGAGTAGCCCACAGTTAAGAAGGAGACTTAAAACTGAGGATAAATGTCTGCCCAGAGCAGCCAGTCCCCCAATCCTGTGAGACATTACTGTGGTAAAAGTAGTTTCTTCTGCCCAGGAGTCTACTCCCCAGCTCTTAATTTACCCTAGAACTTCTGCAAATAATCTTGCTTCCCAGAATCACTGTAAATACAATTATTTATTTCTGTGATGATTTAAAATGAAAAACAAACAAACGAAACTCACATGCAAAGTCTTTAGAAGCAGCTAACTTCAAATTAAGTAACAGAATCAGTATGTAAACAAGTGTTTTTAGTCAGTTTTAATTTGAAAGCACTCCTTAGAAATCACAGGTGCTTACCATTTTGCAGCATCTTCTATTGACTTTTGGCCAGTAGCAACCAAGGCTTTTTGCCTAGAAAAAAACCACACAAACCAAATGAAAACCAAGTGGATTCATCAGAATAACAGAAAACATTAAAATTGTTTTCTTTGATTTTAATAAAATAAAGAAGAATGGACATGTGACAACCAATTCTATTTTTCAGCATAATACATACCTATAATAACCTAACCTATAATGACAAGGTTATTCCTGGCACATATTAATGTTCTTGAAGCCCTCCAGACAGTTGGATCTGTTGCATGTCTTTAATTCCTTGTAGACTGGTAATCTGCCCTTTCCACAGAACATCCACAGAATGTGTTTTGAAGAAATTTGCTTAGCACCCCTACTGATTAAATGGGCTTCCTTTGGGTTGGTTTAGCTGTCCCTTCACACATTGTAAGAACAGGGTTTGCTCTGTTGATAATTAATGAGAAGCCCAGATTCAAGTGCCAGATTCAAGTCCACACATATAACCTAAGCAAAACATACTTATTTGGAGTTTGAAAGTCTGGACTGAGGATTTCCCATAGCCCAGAAAGAGCCAGACCTAAGCCACAGGTTAATTCCAAGATAACATACAATATCTCAATTTTCTCCCCCTTTTATTCAACTGACATTCTTTGGGATCAAATTTGGTTCATGTTTCCTTTTCACAGAATCATAGAATCTCCTGAGTTGGAAGGGACATACAACAATCATGGAGTCCAACTCCTGACTCCACAAAGGACCACCCAAAAATCAAGCCCTATGTCTGAGAGCATTGTGCAGATATTTCTTGAGCTCCGGCTTCTTGGGGCTGTGACCACTGCTCAGGGCAGCCCATTCCATGCCCACCAACTTCTGGTGAAGAACCTTTTCCTAACCTCCAACCTGGCCTTCCCCTGTTTCAGTTCCCACAGGTTTTATTGCTGGTCACCAGAGAGAGGAGAATAGCTAGAGCTTTCAAAATGCCATTGACATTCTTTATGTGACAGAGTCTTTGTGAGTAAATGCTGAGTTTTTGGAGGGTGAAGGATTCCCTGTGTTTAAGTAGCACCTGCACCCATGAACCTCATTTCCAGCCCTGCAATCCACCTGTAACCTCAGAAGTGACATGAAGGGGAATGAGAAACAGCGGAAACGGAAGAAAAACTGCCAAGTTACTCCGCATCTGCTTATCCTTCCTTCTTTCTTGAGGTTATCTTTTCTGACCGCTGTGTGCTGAGGGCATCCATCTGTTTGACCTAATCCTCACATTTTTATCTTCCTCTATCCATATGGCATCTGTGCATGTACTGGAGTGCCATAAGTGCATTAAGGAGCAAGTCTTAATCTTGTTGTGGTTGCTTCTTCCCAGACTTTTCTTTCTAATGCAAAAATACATATTGGTTTGTTAAAAACAATGAAATGTGCATATGTGCATATGCAACCATATTTGGTTCTTAGTGGAGGATCAGCACAGCTGAAGACTAACTCGATTTTTTCACTCAAGCTCAACCTTCTTCCTTTCTCCTCTCTAAAATTAGAATTGACGACTATGGCCAAATCAATCCCAAAACCATGAGCTAGTTGATCAAAAGTGACCCTGTTTCCTCTGTGGCCCTCCCTGTGACCTGCATCCTTTTTTTTCTGCCTCTCTGCTGATTCTCCCTTCTCTGTCACATCAAACATGAACAACTTGTATTTTTGTTGTGCTCCCCATGCAGCTTTTCCTGTCATACCCTGCTGGAATGTAAATGCTTACTGCTGCTTGGCCAGAACTGCCAGCCTTTGTCACCTACTGCTACACTTCAATGTGAGTGTTTTATCATTTTATGCCATGCTGCTCCTCCCATTTGGTAACAAGCTCTTTGTAAACAGCCCCAAAGGCAAGCAGAGCTTGACAGCAGTTTTCCTTTACATTGACTCTGTGCAATCATAAAAGTAATAAGACCATTGGAGACCTAAGGCCATGGCCTGTCATGATGCTCAGCATCATCTCCTTGCTCCCCCATGCTCTTCTGTCTGTTTCCATCTTTCATCCCATCACATAGGTTGGTAGTAGAATACTTTCCAGCAGGGTTTCTCAGCCCCCAGTGTTAGCAAAATGTTAGGCTGTAATTAGACATCCTGTGCTTCCAAGGAGGTTGAAAGATAATGTATACGATAAATTCTATACATGCCTAATACTTTCAGATAAACAGTAGGAATAAATCATTTAAAATTTGAATTAAAAGTAATGTATTTATAGGGGAGAATAAGCTGCTTCTTCCCTAAAGCAGAAAACAGCTATCACATTTCTGTTCTATCGAAGCATGAGGTATTCATTATGCTCACTTGCTCAAGTATTTGTGTTTTGTTCTTTCTAAAAATGTTGCTTTTGCATGCTGGTCCTATATTATGAAAGATTTTATAATATTTCCAACGAGCCTTATTTTTTATAGGCCAGGATGTCACAGACAAGCAATTTTTCAGAGCTTTCATCGATGTTTGAAGCCAGGACTTACAGAAACAACTAAGAAGTTTCATAAACTACAGTCCAAATTTTCAATGTGTTAAAGTCTGTAAGGAAAAACAAACAAATAAAAAAGTGCTTTTGGATTTTTTTGCCATTTTATGTTGACTGCTTTGCACTTTGTCCACCATCTGTTGATTTTGACCTAGAAAGCACAAAGCCTCGTCAATCATTGGGGAGAATGTTTTGAAAGCAATTCGGAGAACATAAAATACAGAATAAAAATTAGACCTTAGTTTGGAGTGACCATACTAATATTATCTACTAGAGAAATTACAAGACAGATTTTAAGTTCCACAGCTAAAATTCCACTGGACATAACCAGGAATAATGAACCCACAGCTTCCCTGTAAACTGTGCGCATCACATCTAAAGATGCTTCACCAAGCACCTGGTGTTCCTGAAAAATGGAGCCTGATCAACTTGTTTAATTTTCAATCTAGAATCAAAATGGAGGTTACAGAGATATTGATGTCCTTTTTCAAACACTTATGTGAGTACTCCCCTGACATTCTAATGAAAGGACTTATTTTCTTCAGTCATAAGTCCATGGCACAACTGTCTGCCACCACAGACTCCAGACTTTCCCTTCAGAAATTTGTTGATGCTCTGTAGAACCTCCAAACGTCTTTTTCTGACCAGAGCCATATCTGGGGAAGGATTTACCACCAAGTAACTGAGTTTTTATTAACAAGTTTTTATTAACAAGTTTTTATTAACTCAAGTAATTGAGTTTTTATTAACTCAATTGGAAGTGCTGCCACCAGTTCATCCTCCCTCAGATGTAGCTGCCAAGGACAGGGCCTGACATTTTCTAGGAAGGATGTGCTTTTGAAACAAGATTCATATTTAGGACAGAAAGAAAAAGGGACAGACTCATGTGGCATCTTGTTAATGAAAGCTTACCCTTTTAAAACAGTCTCCTGTGACAAAACCCAGCAAGCACTTTTTTTTTGCCAGGCCTGAAAAAATCTTTGTACAGATGCTACATCCACATTTACTTGCGTTGTAATAACAGTGGTAAGTAGAAAAAAATGAAAGAGTGAACTATACATATCAACTTAACTCATTGTGAAGTCTCTCAAACTCCAGGTGCAGAAAAGCGTGTCTTCAAATATACAGAATAGTTTTAGAAATGGATACAGAACAAGTTTTTTTAGCAATAAGATCAATACACAGTGCTCTACAAGGTATTCAAAGTGAGACAGACCTGCTCCTCCTATGGAGACATCACCCCCAAGAAGCATCTTGTTCTCTTGATGGAAAATGCACACTGTCTGCATTTAAGTAGATACAAGAAACACCTCTCACTGTACAAAAGTAGCTGAAAACATTACTCACGCAATGTGAGCTGGGAATCCTTTGGCCAGGAGAGACTCCAGGAGTGCAGAGGGGCTTTTGCTCCTGTGTTTATTGGACACCTTTGCATACAGCTGCGTCTCAGCCACCGCCATCCTCTTCTCTCCCTCTAGCTGTGCTCGGTGCTGACAGAAATTAGGAGGGGGAGGAGGGAGGGAGCAAGAAAATGAGAGAGAAAGAAAGAGAAAGAGGCAGCTAGAATAAAAAAACCCTCAAACTTCTTGTGATCTTCTCTGACAAAAGCTGACATCCTGTTTTCATAACCTGTGCGTCTTTGAGTTTTTGTTTTAAAGCAGTTAAAAAAGCAAATCTGCAGGCTGTTCCCATCTGCCCTAGTAGAACAAGACGCGTTGTCCAAGGGAAAATGTAAGAGTCAGGGTGGACTTGCTGAACAGTCTGACACTAAATCTTCATTTTAAATTCTCTTCTGGAAGCCAAGAAATCCATCTGAGCTTCTATTGGAGAGGAAGGGGACCTTCTGCATCATATAAGAAGTTATTTTGTAGGCTGAACTCATTCCTCTTGGGCTCAACGTTCATATTCTCTTTGCTGATGGTACCACTGTTATCCAGGAAGTATGGGAATGATAGGGTCTCTAGAGCTGCTGGTCTCAAGAAAAAAGCCATCACTATCTCCTTCTTGGCTGAAGTTCCTCTTGGGGCAACTCAGCACTCTGGGCTGCCTCTCCCAGTCTTTATCTCTGAAGCCTGGTGAGGAGAGCATTCAAGCAACCCAAAAGGCACAACCTGGATGTGAGCAGTAAACAAGAAGGCAATGATGTTGTGCTCTGTCCTTTGTAAGTGCCAGCTTCCATCCTGCACAGTGAAGGGACTGATTGGTTTCCCTCACTGCAGGAAGATCCAGAGAAGTGTTTTCATGGAAAGCCTTCTTTTCTTCCATGGTCTCTAAGGAGTCTTGTTTCACTTACACTACCACTAGCTTTTACTTTAGCTCTCTTTCTCCTTCCCTCCACCCTCCCTTTGGCAACATCTCCCTATTTACGAAAAAACTACAAGCCGAATTAGGACTACTTTTGAGTGTTTTACAAAGCTGAACATACATTTTCATTTTCTAAAACCAGACTACAAATAAGCGGGTACAACACTCTCAGTACAGGCACACTGTTTTCAGGAATGAGTTACCACTTGCAAAGCATTTCCAAAAGATTGTGCAATGTCTGATAATGGAAGTTATCCATAATTAACATATGTGTGTGTTTTTTTTCTCCCAGAACCCCTGTTTTAATGTGCTGTTTGCTATGAGCACACAGCAAAGGGTAAGGAAGTGAAGAAGGAGCAGCATCATCCAAGGGCTCTGTGTGACAACATGAAGAAACACCTGGGCCTCTCCCTGCTGCCACTCAGGGCTGCAGGCAGACTCCTCCACTACACAGTTTTTGATAAAAGATGAGCAAGCATGAGCCTGCATGGTTTAACTTCAGCGGTATTTCTTCCCATGGAAGGTTACAGAAAGGTTTGCAAATACTGCAATATTACTTTACGCTCTTAGGATGATTAAAACGCGTGCTGAATTTTTATCTCCCCCCTTTCCGTAGCCATGCCATCCGAAGCTACCTGATATCCATCCCCAGGTTGGATTTCACAGCCGTCTCCACAAAGCTGCCTGTGACCAGTGGCTGAACGGGCGGTCCAGGGCGGCTCAGGAAACCTCTCAGAGTGGGCTGGCTTAGCAACCTCAGGACTTCCTTTTGGCTTCTTTTGATGATGAAGAGAGAAAACAGTTTTGCTTTTAACTATGACTTCTCAGGAAGAGGTGAGTGAAGCTTTGGGACGGCGTGTGTCCTCTAAAGAAGACGTGTCTGTGCTTATCTCTCATGTCGTTTATACTTCTCAATGCTGTTTTACTTACAGATGAACAACTTTTGTGCCAGTTAGGAGGATTGTAAGGGTAGAAGAGTATTAAAAAGACTTAAAAATCATATACAGCACACCATCCTTTTATCTGCCTTAAAATTAGTGGGCTACATATGAAATTTAATTTATGGTCATTGAAATGAAAATTGGACTTTATCAAAACCCCGTTGCGACTCTGCTGAGAAGTGAAGAGATATTCCTGGTGGTTAGAGATTAGTGCCGCCAACAAAACACATATACTTTGCCTAAAATGTGTCACTATAAATATTTTCTGGGACTGCTTTGAAAAGCACTTGTGCTGCTTTTACACCTTACAAACTCCACTGTCTTTAGCAATCCTGGACCTATTTCACACCATCATGAGGTCAAAAACATGATACCTTTTGTCACTGATAGTGCTTGGAACTGAAGCTAGAAAACAGAATTTTGAAGCTGCTTACCTTGAGTTCTGGTGTGGCCCGTTTTAATAATTCTCCACTGTATGGGAAGAGATTAAGGGTTTTCTGGGCTAAAATTCATTCTGCCCAAGCATGAGGTTGCTGCCAGGTACTGTACAGATGTAATGTGCTTTTCCATCTCTCTTGTTTCTGATTGCAATTAAAGAGAGCACCTCACAGGGGTTAGGTTGAAATTTAAGGGAAAAAAAGAAGTCAGTTATTTGTCGCAGTCACCAACTACAGTTATTGAACGTGCTTAGACAAACCTGAAAATAATTTAACTTCTGTAGTTGCTGGTTAATTAATTGCAAGAGCTTCTCTCATGAAGTATGGTTTCTTTTATCATGAAGAAATGGTTTATTTTGGGCAAGCGTAGTATTCTTGCAGGTGTGTCTGCAGATTCATTTTTTATCTGCATTGCATGGAAGAATTATCAATGGAAGTAGGAAGAAAATATCCTTTCATATCAGAAGAAGAGTGTCAGATTTTTTGAGGTAATAGAAATAATTTGCTTAAATATTGTGTCGTTATTTCTTCTGTTGAGCCAGGCTCAAGGGGCAAATCCCACTACTGGAAGTCTTGAAATCATCTCTATTACAGAAGATGGACCGCCAGTACCAGAAATTCAGTTCTCCTTCAAAAGATTTTTCAGCATACAAGTGAGAGTTGATCCCAGTGCAGATGGATCTGGTAGGGATGCTGCATAGTGTTTTGACCTTTGTAATCTGAACAGCTAATTAGCTTGCCCACACATTCAGAGAAAGCAATTACTCGGAGAAACAAGAAACACAACTTCACTCCCCCAGCCGTGAGATTTGCCACCATATCAGCAGGCGATGACATCTTCTGTCTTGTGCTTGCATGCACAAGCATTTTTTATAGACAGATTATCCACACACTTCTGTCACATAGCAGATATTTGCCCACGCTTTTCTGACATTGTTTTCATTGGCTTATTTGAAAATTTTCCAAACTGGAAATTCAGCCCATTAAAAAAAAAACCTGAATGCACAATATAACAATCTATAGGATGAATAGCAAACATGTTGGTTACTTCCCTTAGGTTTCATGGCAAATATACTAACTGCAGCTGTGTAAAATTTTGGATATCAGACACCAACTCCATTGTCAAAATCAGTTGCTCAGTAGCTTTAGGGAGGGTTTGGGAAGGTTGGGATTTACCTGTGATTCTATGAGCACTGGTAGACACTCAGCATCCTTGACTGGTTCTAAGTTCCTGCTAATCTTAGATTCAAAGCTTGAGGAAAGGGGTTAAGAGCTGCATGGATTAAAATTGGCAACAAGGTTCTACCAGCTCTTGTGTATATACATGAGAAAGCTGTGTAGGCTATTTTCCCATACTTTGCATTCTGTATGTCAGAATACGTTTGTCACAAGTGAATCCTTCATTATTTTCAATGGGATCCATTGTTTTTTTTTCCTGAATCACAATGCTACCAAGTTGAGGTCAGCTACAGAGGTGAACAGGATCATTCCTGCTCATGAAATGCATTCAGCAGTTCCTGCTGGTGTCTATTTTAACTTCAGATGCCTCTTTTTCCTTGAAAACTGAATCTCAGCACAGAGCTATTACATGGTTCTTTCCTTGCCTTTATAGTAAAATTTCCTCCAGATCACATTTTTTGACACTTTTTCAAGCTATCTTCTAATGTGGAGGTCCCATGGTTTTTTGCTTTCTACTGTTTTCAATCAACTCTGCTTCAAAGTCCAAAACTTTCTTCCTTCTTGCCTTGAATGCTATTTGTTAACAGGTGCTGTCTTTCCAATATTCCTGCTCACGTTCAAAGCTTTAGCACCTCTTCCTCCCTGACAGGAGTGTTCCCCCAGCACTGGAAGAGTGGAGCTGGTGCATGGGGTTGTACACTGCGCTCAGAGCACCATGCAGCTGGGGTTGCTGCTGGAGGGAGCACTGGGACCACAGATATGGTACAGGCAAGGGTCAGGAGATGTCATGGACAGGAATGACTGTGAATTGCATGCAGCAGTTGCTGCTTCATCTAGCTTAATGTTAGAGAAATCTTTTCACTGCAAACTCCAGCTGTTTAAACTTCATAGAAGCTGTTATCTCTGTTTGGTTTCCAGGGGATATTGAACCACCTTCGATGTGCCAACTATTAACCTCCCCCAGATACCTTCCCTACGTCTGTGCTTTATTCTTTGTAGTAATCCTAGCAGTTGCCACTGGCCTGGGTGGTGAGTACAATTAGTTATTCATTAAGTTATTCATTAGTTATTCATTCTCAATTAACCATTCTAATTCTTAATTTTTCATGAGGTTTTTACTTAGAATGGAATTAACCTGCTACTGCCACTTGCTAACTGAAGTATAAAGTCTTGCTGGAATGATGGATTTACATTTTATTTACATGTACAAATAAAATAGATCTGTCACTCACGACAAGATTGATGTAATAATTAGGACACAGGGGAGCCTGTAGGACTTAGAAAACTCTCCAGTCTGATTCCTTTAATTTCACTGATTCCTCCTGAGTCATGCTCTAAGAATTGAGAAGCCAAGGGGAACTTAAGGTAACGTGCATAGTTTTGTCTTGTAAATCAGTACTTTCAGTTTGGTTTCAGAAAACTTTCCCCAATAACAAATCTGTATGAAGGAAAAGAAAGCTAGGATAAGTTCAATTGTGACTGGAAGGTGTGTCCTACCTAGTGGTAGGTGACAAATACGTTGGTAGTAAAGTGGTTCATATCCACAGCTGGAATGAGTAAGGATTTCCTTGCTTTGTTGGTAAGGGTTCACAGCAACTG